ATTCGCGTTGGACTCCACCGTAATCCAACCCCTTTTCTCCAATGAATTCTATCCACAACCTGCAGCAAATGGGATAGAACGTACGGATCTGTTCGTAATTCGTTAGAGATTGCCCTGAATTACTTCATCTCACAAAGTTAGACAAATGTAGAAATCATTATCTAGCCTTAATGACGTCGAATTCACCAGCTTGGAGATGGAAACTGTGAATGTGGCCTTGCACTACGAAGCTTTCAAGGACATGTGAACCGATGTGACTTTTCTTCCGGTAACTCTGTCAATCTGACCCTCAAATTTGCCGTGGTCTGGAGGATTAGTAGGGAATAAGTATTTATGAATTGCTTTTTCAGTTAAAACAATGTTCAGAATAATTTACTTAACTCTTATGTTGCATAGGTCTCGATTAGGTGACCTTGGGCGAAAATTGTCCGAAGTATTTAGGCCCATCGATGACAAAATAAAGTGCCCAATCGATTGATGACCTAGGTTACTTAAATTTACGGCAGCTATTTCGATGGGCAACTAACAAATGTCTTATTCTGTGAACGTACGGTAACTTCAAAGTGGAAAACCGATAGGACATGATTTTGACCTACATCGCGGACAAAGCAAAATTGAAACGCTTCGTAAAAAAGCGCAGGCGATGAGTGAAATCAGCTACTCGACCGACGTGAACAATCAGAATGAGCATTGTCAGTGCTGCAAACGTACTAAAATTTGAAATGGAAAGAAATTAAAACTGCGAAAGGGGTGTGGAAATTTCAGAATAAAACAAACCAAACCAAACATAGCAACGCATTAAACAACACGGTAATTCTGAAAAAAGGAAAGAACCATTGAATCAGCGTTGGTAAACCTCTCAAACCACATGTTCAAAGATAAGATTTGTCTTCTTCAATTAGAATGAGAGACGAACGTCTCGTGATCAGCAATTCGATCCATGAGATATCTGACAGAGCTCGAGTTTACAAGGAAGCTTGCAGCAAGAACAAAGTACATACGCCGCTCGGAACAGTTCAAGTTTTATAACTGGTCAAATAGTGGCAAGAATGATTGTACTCCGTCCTAATATGTTCGAACAATTCATGAATGGTGAAAATGACGCACAACTGAGTCGGGCAGTACACACAAACAGTAATGCTATCTGCACTACTAAACAGACGAATATGAGTGCAATGAGCGATACGAACAAGTATTGCATTCATGTGATAAGGAGCAATATGACACACACAACCGATGAACAAGTACATAAACACTTGCTACGAAAATATCCTTAAAAACCAATGAGAACTCATAGTCGAATCTCCAACACGAGCATTGAAAACAGTGTATCGGGAAGTCGGAAAGCAAATTCGACTACTAATCATGATTAGGAGAACAATCGCTAATGCGATAATATCGTGTGAATGTTACTATTTGTGATCAACAATAGCCAAATAATACGTGCCTAGTATTACCATATGTAAGTAGACGGGCGGTAGGTCGAAAATTTGACTGGTCTCTCATTGAAGATGACTCACCGTTGCATGAGGACTTCGGGTTTTTTAATACCGTTGATCAAACGGAAGGAATCTTCAAAAACGCGCGATCGATTGATTCGCAGTTCGAATTTCGCCTGAGGATCACGAGGTGCTCGCAAGCGAGAGCGGAAGTAATCGTATTTCTGTTTGTAGTTTCGTGAATAAGGAACCGCCGGACCGCCCAGTCGTTCGAGACGCGGATCTTCCCACTGAGTGGTGCGGGCATCTAATAGGATAAGTCGGGACAAAATGAATAATAAAAATATCCGGGTTCCAGTTCCGGACCATTGGTCAGCAAATATCATCCCCCGCACCCTAACCGCTGATATATATATATATATATATATATATATATATATATATATATATATANATATATATCAACTTTATTACGTATTACCAAAAGCAAGTTAGTACAAATTTTGCCATTATTATTATTGTTGTAATCGGAAATGAACCTTCATTATTGTTACTGTCGGAAAATTAGGAGAACGCTGCGTTAACACACTAAAAAGCATGTGAACCATTACTGGGAGGGAAATGCCTAATACAATTCAAGGTCTTGGGTCCCGGAAACAATCGAAAAAGAGCACGAAACTTGCGAACAGAATGAGCAACTCACTGTGATCGATGTAGAAAATTCGGCCATTTGTATGTACTCTTTCTTCCCAGCCGGGCTAGATGGCGAAAATGCAGAAATAAGTTATTGAGGGGTAGTTCACACGGGTAGTTCACAGTTATGCGAATGCTAATACACGTGCGAAGCTTACAGGGAGTGGTCCCAAATCCTTCATTGTGTGTCGCTCAGCGTCCATTTTCAGCAGTGAACCAGAAGCCGGTTGATCAGACAACTTTTGCAGTCTAGGATCATCCTGACATGGGTGTACCGAAGAGAGTAAGGTGTTAGAAATAAACCACGGCTTTATATCGCATTCAGGTGTGGATGCCACAGATTATATGGTAAGTTATAAGCAAACAATTGTAGGCAGATGCATCAGTATATGCGTGAAGACCAATCTTAAAATGTAACCCAAAATTTCTTTTCCTTCGTATGGATGTGGACGACTTCAGTGAACCAAAAATACAGCAGCAACTACCCGCTAAGGAGACTTTATTATTTCATTACACCACCTCTTTCACAACATATAAGCAATGATTTGCAACATAAACTCCTTGCTATTTGCGAGTAAGTGAATCCCATGCTAAGCATGATAGTTCGGATTGACCTAGATAAGTTTTGCCCTCCAGAGGTGACCGTTGTTATCTAGTCTGATCTCGTCACAGACACNAGCGAAAGCTGCCTTTGAGGTCAACGGAACTGATGAAGTGACATGTAGTGGGCAACATCTTGAAAAACACGTTCTGCTGTTAATTAAATGCATACATCACCTCAGTGTACCAAATCCAGCAGATCACGTTCGGTGTACTGGCGAAGATCCATAGAGGTATTAATGGGTTTTCTAATCATCTTTTGTATTTTTGCATCTTTATTCAATCTTTTCAAATCGCCATTTGGCCAATTGAAAGGGGTGAAAACGAACACTTTGCGCAGGTCTAAATGAAGAACCGGGAAGATAAGTTAAGAAAAATCACGTGCGCACATCTAGCATGTAAATAAACAATGTGTATAATTCACGGTTTCTTTGTGTCTTTACGCTGATTTGAAAGCTGAATCTGTTTAGTGATAGGAACTAATAATATATCAAATTCTCTCATCCTCATGTAGCAAGAAAGTTGTCCAGCAGCCAGTGCTTTTACGTGGAAATCAAGTGCTTCTAGTGTTTCACCCAATTCCTGTGTTCGCACAAACGTTGGCGGAATAACATTGAGAAGTGGATAAGTGACCGTTGGAAACGTTAAACGATACGGCTAAGTAAACGGCTTGGGAACCTTTGCGCAGACCTTTACTCCATATTCCTGGATTCACCAATGCTGCAATGCCACACTTAGCTCACGTTTTACTGAAATGTCCCTGAATAAATTCTCAGACATCCCTTTTAAGCAACGGGTTATGGAGTACCAATTACGTTTGTTTGAACTGAGCTTAAAAAACATTTCCAAAATAACAGTCGATCATAATGATTTCTACGATGACAGGCATATTATCTGACTGTTTTCCGATCCCTCTGTGAACCAGCACATTTTCTTTTGACGATACGTGGGACATAGTGAACACATCAGTAAATCCGGGTAGAACGAAATATGCACTACACGTACTGCTCGGAGTGAATTTATTGGTTGCCTGTTAAAATTATTTTTTATCCTATGGTTCATACAATGTTCACTTGTTTCAATTTTATCTTGAACAGAAAAGGCAAATCAACTGTTTTTAATGCGAATTTCGTTACAAGGGTGACGGCAATTTTGTTGCGAATCACAAAAGACTACTTCTAAATTTATCAGTAACCAAAAGGGCGATGAGAAAACTCAAAAGAAAACGATCGACCGGTAAAACGATGCACTAGTGGAACGGGTGAACACAGAAAAATTCTACTCCTTAGAATAGAAGTGAATTCCAGATTTTCTACACTTGCGGTGTCACCTGGCGATAGTAAGCGGTCAATAAAATGAAGCAACTGCAAAAGTAATGGAAACTAACACAAATGAGAAAGTAGAGCGCACACAAAACGACTTTCACACTTTGGGTGAACATGGGTGAAAATGATCAACGACAATCGAGTTCAATATATGAAGATTTCATCAAAGTGAAATACGCAAACCTGAATAGTATCAGCTCAGCCAAAAAATATTATGGGCAATATGTGACAAACAATAAGTTGGAATTTATACAGATTCTGAAACACAATGCTCACTACATCATAAAGCTCATAAGTCAAAAAGAAAAATGAGATCAATGGTGAATTTGTAAGTATAAGCTAATGAGGATTTGAGGGGAATTCAACAGATATTGAGAAAAGAAATATAAAGCAGGAGCATGAGACGTTAGAAAGTTAACTATGAGAAGAAACGAATTCCTGTGAGGATTTCTCCAGTTGAATCTAGATTCCTCGTTATTTAAAGATAATCTGAGCTGATCACATACAAGACTCAGTCGAAAACTGATACACAAGAAATTTCTACTTATTCCAACAACCTTTAAGGGGTGGTCACGTATGCGCGTAATTGAACTTTTCAAATAAATAATCGTATTTCGTCATTTACCTGTCTTATTAAGAGCCTATGAAGAATCTTAACGAAGTGCATCAATAATCAGCACAAAATCGAATAAGCCGAACACGTGTTCCTTATCTGATATCATCTCATAAAAATTGTAAAGCAGAATTATCAATTGTTTCAAGAGAGAATGCTGACTGCAATGATCTAGGAAAACAGCAAACCTGATGCTGATATTGGTCCACCATCACGAGAAGACTGCACCTTAATGTGGTGTGATGGCCTGTCCACCGCCGTGACCCGACAAGCTACACAGGATGGCTTTTGTCGAGCCATAGATCCAATCATGCCTGGAAGGTCAATGGGTAGAGGTCAGATAAAGTCCAGCCAAACGGTCCTCCAAGTTGGGGGTTTGACATGAGTCAGCGTCTCACTCGGTAAAAGATGACGGAAGTACTTGATCCGGGCTTCCAAACTGCCTCAACCGCTGCCTTGCGGTCAGGTTCTTGTTAGAACTAAAGGCTTTGGCTAAGAACCTTAATCGTTCTCCTGCTTGGCGGTTGGACTCCCTGGCAGTACCCGTCCATAAAACTATAATGAACATAAACTAAAAATAAGTTCATATTGCATCGGTCGTCCCGCAGGATAATCAGGACCGCGCTGTCCATTGGATCGAGCGGGGTGGGTAGTGATAAGTGGGCTACTGATCAGAAATCCCAACCTTTGATTAACTACTTGTCTTCCGTACCCAACCCCCTCCCTTTACCCCTTCTTCCGACAAGTAACATTCCCTCAGACAACCTGTTCATCAGTCGCCAAAGGTCTTTGCCAAATAGCACTGCAAGCAGTTTTCCTGTAATTAATGTACAGATTTAGAAGCCTTGTCAACCTCTAAATCCCGGGGTCCTCAACGGATAGACTCTTATGTAGGTGGGTCAACAAGCACGTACAAGTCTTTAGAAATTCATGCCTATTGTGTATCGGAGACACGAACTCAGTATCCCAGTATCATAAGCCACCTGAGTGTACCCGGCCGGTCCTCAAAGTATTTCCATAGCACATCAGGAGATGACGCAGCCCGCTCACTGGGTCAGCGTGGTGTAGATATCGTACTAAACGATAAAGCTGAAGCCTCGATGATAGATTGGATAGCCATCAATAGTCGTCTCTGTGCAATGAGGCTACAGGGATCAGTGAGAGTTCGGAAGGTGTTTGTTCATAATTTCCGCGTATGCACCCACCAACTGCAGTCCCGCTTCACAAAAGGGTGAATTTTACGACAAACTCGTCGAACTGATTCGGTTGAGCCGCAACTCTGATCTTATAGTGCTGGTAGGAGGTTTTAAAGCGCGGGTTGGGAAACCGAGTGCATCCGAAGCCTGTCTAGGAGGGCACTTCGCCCTTCCCGCCCAGTGAACAGACAACGGTGATCGACTACTCCAGTTCTGCGCGGATCACCTGCTGCTCTTATCTAGCACCAATTTTCGACACAGCTCTCGTCGAACGGATACATGGGCACACTGACCGAAATTGACCACGTAGCTGTAGGCTACCGTTGGCGTGGTTCAGTACAAAATTGCAGATCCTATTGGTCCACCTGCATTGAGTCGGATCATG